AGCAGGAAAAATGTTACCTCCATAGCAGAAGCAAAAGCTGAGGTGGTCTCCAGCTGTGAAGAGAGCCTCTGAGGGTCAACAGAAGGGGAGTTGCTGTTGTTCTGGATGATCTTTTTCAGCCTGGGTGGAGGGGGGATGCTCTCGGTCTAGTCAGTGAGAGGGTCTCATCTGCATTTTTCAGACATCCAGGATTCCCTTAGGAGTGCTTCTGAATACCAGGTGGTTGATGCTGGGGAATATTGCTACAACCAGTGTTAGAAACCAAACAATCATCTGTAACTGACCTGTATTTTTATCAGAGCAGATTCTTAAGCCACCACTTGACCTGGCAAATCCCTGGAGATTGCCAATTCATTCGCCACATGAACACAAACACCTCAAGGTTTTTTTGCAGATTGGGTCTCAGTAGAGGTACCAATTCCAACACAAAGGCCAGAAATCCCATCTTCGAAAGCAAAGAAGCTCAAGAAACATTTCAGAACTTCAGCATAGTTTATTGACTCTCTCTGATAATGTCTATATGACAAATGGAATTGTAATACTAAAATTTATGCTGGAGCATATTGTGGTTCACTTCCTCCTGTCTAGCATTTGCTTTGAATGGTGTTTACTGAACACATGTGCTTCCACTCCCTGGGAGAATCGAATGCTTGTATCTGCCCTTCAGCTGCTGCTGCATCTCGTTTTTATTTTCAGTATTGCTTCTGATAAGATTAGGATAGCATTATGGAAACATCCAGGCTGATGTGATATGTTTTCCCCTGTGTGTCTTCTTTCCTTATAATGTCTTTCTGACCTTTCACGAGAGAGGTTACCTCACTTTGTGTTCAAAGAAGAATTTTCAAGTCCCTGTTAGTGTAGTCCATTTTCTCCCTATTCCTTACTGTTCTACCCTGACAAGCTTAGCTTGTGCTGGATTTTGAAATCATGTGCTAGTGATATTTTACTACTGTCATTAATCTGGCATGCAGATGGGTACTCATTGGTGGTAAATTACAATGTATTTAATCTAGTATCATATGTCACATAATTCACATGAATATCAAATTAGGTTTTGTGACTATTAATATTATTGCATTGTATGTTAAATTAACAGTGAGTCACCCTAAAGTCCTTTAAATAGCTGCAGTAGTATTTCCCCACCCTTACAAAACTTCCAATTAATTTTGTATACATTAATTCTGCTAAATAATTAGAGCAGAATCTTGAAACCTCAGAGAATGCCAGTTTTAGAGGTGAGAGATGAGTGCTACTTATATGTGCTAGATACAGTAATAAATCATGATGAATAGAGATTTCACTATCAAATGGACAAAGATATAGATCTGAACTTTTTAATTGTGGTTTTCTCCACAAATTCATAAAGGTGTTTTTTTTTGTTGGAATTTGGGTTTTTGGGGGGTATTTGGGGTTTTTTTTTATTGTTGTTTTGTTGGTTTTTGTTTGGGTTTTTTGGGTTTTTTGTTGTTGGGGTTTTTTGTGTTTGTTTTTTTTGTTTGGTTTTTTTTGGTAAGAATCTGTGAGTCTAACAGTAAAACTGCAAATTCAAATGTCTTGACTTAGATGAGAGGGCAGAGCATCTCCTCTGCCTGATTAATAGGGAACATAACTGTGTTTTCACTTCCAGAAAGGAGAGGTGGTTCTGTGATGTTTTGCAGCTTGATATTTCTGAAGGCATTTTTGATAGGTTGTCAAGCTAGTTGTGAAAAGGAGAAGGTAAACATTGCATGTGCTATGGGAGTGTATCTCTGTGCATGGCTGGGGTTTTCAGGGGCCAACTATGGTGAATGCTGCAGCTGTGAAGCAGGTACCTTATGGACCTACTTGCTGTACAGTTAATAGTATCTGTATGGGAAGAACAAGTTGGTTGCCTTGAAAATAATTTTGGTTAGTGAGTATAAGAACTGAAAAGAGGCCAGGAGAGCTGAGACAGTATGGAAGGCCTGCAGGACACGCTTCCCCAGTACACATATAACTGCGAATGTAATAGCTTGCTTGTAATTCACTGCAGGGCAGGTTGCTGGCTCAGCTGTTTAGGCCTGGGCTGTGAGCAGCTGGCTTGGATTCAGTGTTGAAAGAAAGGTATTGGTGAAAGCAATAAGGGACAATAGAAACTGTGATGCACAAAACTGTGGGCAGTAAAATATTGCTTCTAGCAAATACTTAAATTTATTTATTTTCTTTTTCAGAAGTAGTTACCTAGGTGCTTTCCTGAACAGAGTGTAGGAGAATAGGTTCCTCATCTGTAAGGTAGTTAGTTTATACTTTTCAGAAATGGAATTTAAAAAAATTTCTTCTTCCCCCCCACCCACATACACTCTTACTGACTGCTTTTTTGGTTCATCTATCCTAGTATCACTGGGAAATCCCAGGGTACCCAAACCTAAGCTGGCCTTGAAATTAACCTTGCAGTGCATCACCCCTTCAATCCAACCATTCTCCTATCAGTCCCAAAGATTCACTCGGATGCCATAATAATACAAGAGAAGCCAGGTGATAGTTTCAAGATGCAAGTTACAGTGAATCAGAAAAACAGAAGATAAAAAAACCATGTGCAAAATAAGAAAGGGAAAAGGTGAGAAACAGTAGTAAAGTTCAGTTCACGCATCTGTCAGAAGCAGGGCAGGAAGGTGCAATGCTGGTGTCAGACTACACTGAAAAGGACTTAGCCATACTCCATCAGCTGTGTGGAAAAAGAATTTGTTGTTTACTGGTATAGATTACATCTGTGCCATTCTCAGAGGAATCCATAACATAGAACAACTGTACTTGAAAAGGGGTAGCTTCTACCTGTCAAAGATTTCCCTGCAACCGTGTAGGCACTGCAGGGAGAAGCCATCGAGTCAAGGTGTTTTTGAAAATGATTGAAAAGGGTATTGTGGAGTCTGGGGGTTGTCAGTTAAACTGAGGGACAGAATCACTGTGCTAATTCTCATGTAACTTACCATTGACTAAAGATGATGTATTAAATAATCTGTGTCACTTATATGTTTGGTAGCACAGGCAATTCCCTGTTGATCACTGTTGGGAGAACTTGCTGCTTTTGTTGCTGGAGAGTCAAGGTCCTGGCATGAGAGAGTTCAGTCTCGTGGTACTTTAGCACACAAAATGACACTTGTATTTCATGCACTGTGATGGTAGAATTGCAACAAAACACAGCATTTCTTTATGTTGCTTAGATGTGCAGTGTTCAAGGTTTTAGATTAGTTAAAGCATCAGGTACGTATTTGTCTGCTTTTTTTTTTCTTCTGCTTATTTTGATTTGCTGTGCAAGAATGTTTTGAAGTAGAGATTTATTTTAATACCAAATTGCTTTCCGGTTAAACACTTGAAACATTCCTAACTTAAAGATGGAGCAATTTTATTTATTTATTGCATTCTCATGCTGTTTTTGCTATTCAGGGCTTTAAACATGCTTTAATGTTGTTTCACAGAGCTCACTTGGAGGCCAGTGCAGAGAAATGGAACAGATTGCTGACATCCCTGGAAGAGTTAATCAAGTGGCTGAATGTGAAAGATGAAGAACTGAAAAAGCAAATGCCCATTGGAGGGGATGTTCCAACCTTACAGCAACAGTATGACCACTGCAAAGTAAGTTGCTTAACTTTTACAGATAAATATGCTACTGTAAATAATAGAATGAAACAAATTTGAGTACAGGAGAAATGATGAACATTTCCTAGTGACTAATTTCTAGAAAAAGTTTCTAGGTCGCCACCTCTTTTTCTTCCCCACTTTGTCCAGTAAAGTACAACTGAGATACTCTCTATAAAATTTTATCTAAAGGATTTCTGATACATGTATTCAATCCACACATGTTTTTTTATGTTTCCTGATTATTTTGGATTCCTACTGGGTAGAACTGCTATTTTACTTTAAGTAAAGTTAAGGAAGACATACAAAAGTGAGAAATGAATAAGAAATGTGAAAGCAGTGTGGAATGTATATTGAGGAAATTTATGTCAGTGGCTTTCTACATGTTTCTAAATTACCAGTAATAGCCCCCCACCCCATGCAGATTTATACTGCAAAGATGACTCTAAATTGTTTTTTGATAAGTAAAACTTGCTTATGCCTTTTACTGTTTTAATTATAACATGCTATTTCAGTGCTCTGGTTTTGCTAGTTCTGTCCCAGTTTTGTATATAAAAGGGTATTGATTCCTAAATATCATTTGACAATAAAAAACTCTGTTGCATCTACAACGTATCTTCATTCATGAGGAACGTAGAATCTGTCTCACCAATTCTGATCAGTAATCAAGTTAGGACGTATTTGCCATTGGACTAATTCATTCTAGTAAAGCTGATTCCATCTTATCATTGTGTTTGTTCTCCTCTATGATATTAACAGAAAAAGAACAAATGCAGCTTTATATAGCTGATTACATAACAAGTATGTTTCCCTCTGCCAACAGGACACTGATGTCTTTTCTGCTGTGGTATTTAGCAAGGGCAAAAACGAAATTTGGGAAAACAGTAATACAGAAATACTCAGAATACTGTGAGAAACTACAAGAAAAAGTAGCCTGACATGAGCAGCACTTTTGAGACTTAACTCCAAAATAGAAGAGCTTAAGGAAATCTGCATATGTTTCTCCTTAATGTAATCTTTTAAAGTACAGTTATTAGCATAAACTCAGGATCTTTGTTTCTTGAGAGTTCATATCTTCCTGTTCTTATCCACTTAAATCATCTGCTCTGTTTGTAGGCACATCTGCTCTGAATGTTTTATAATGATCAAATGGTGGATTACTAATGCCAAAGAGCAATAAAAGGCTGAAATAGATCAAATTATGTTTTGAAGGAGGTCAGTGGGAGGTGATAGATCTCTACAGGTCATTTTCTAAGGCTTGTTTCTTTTTTATGCTAGATTATATTATATGCATGATAACAACAAATAATACTGCCAGTGCCTCTCATTTGAAGATCTCAAATCAATTTATAAAAATGGTAGTTTTTATTAATCATTCCGAAGTAGAAAAAATTAGGAGCAGTGGTGCTGGATGGTTCATTTGGGTCACTAGTGAACTGCAGCAGTGTGAAAGAGAGAATGTTTTTGTGTTGTTTAATCCATGCCCTTACATTTAAAGAATAATTGATATTTTGTTATGTGTTGAGGTTAATACTCTAATTTTCAGGAGCTCTTAGATGTTATTCTTTAATTTTTCAAAAGGGCAATATTCTTGCAATGTGTCTGTGAGTATTGAATATAGATGTCTCACTCCAGTATTTAATGTGAGCTGTATTAATGGTCAACAGCACAAAATTAAGCAGCTCTATGCGTCAGTTGTTTTTTGTATGCCTATGCAAGCAAGAGCACAGTATTCAATTGTGGATATTTCTTGGATTATGACTGGACAATTATTTTCTAACACTTATTTTGGTACCAAGAGATTCCCATAAATCATGTGATGATACTGTGCTTTTCATCTTATTTGTAAGATTTACTTTTAATTAGAGGCTTTTTTATGATCCCATGCTGAGCTTCTGCAGCACCACATCAACTGGCCTTGAAAAGTTTCTCCCTAGGCCTCCTTGAGCAAGGATTGGGTGCTTTTGCTCTTCTCTTTCCTTTAGTTTCAAATCTGAATGTTGTTTTGAAATTACCATCATGCAAATTGAGAAGTTCAATACCTCACTTTATCTCCACTTCTCTGTGATCCCTTGCTTATCTGATCTTGATCTTGCTGGTACTTCAAAATGTAAGTGGTGAAATAGTGATGCAGCATTAAGATGACAGTCTCATCTCCTGCCCTGTATCTTCATGGGTCCTTAGTCCTTTTTCTCTTAGCATTTTTTTTTACTATAGTTATTCAATAAACATTCTCTTTATTAACCTACTTTTTTTCTCCTCAGATATATGAAATGATGACTTGTTTGCTTTAGCTCAATGGCACTAATTTTACTGCTCTT